AGAAAACCAAACACACACATACAGAATGGGAATAAGTGGCAATAGTACTGCTTAGAAGAATCTATAGGCTTCAGTGGAGCATAAATTCAACAATTTGATGCAGTCACAAAAACAAATGCAGTTTTGGGTTTTATTAACTTGAGAATTTTCTGCAAAACTTGGGAGGAAAATACTATTCTTTTGAGTAATGATTAGATTATTCTTAGAGCAGCATTTTCAGTCTTCAAGAGGAGATTGGACGGGCACCTTGCTGGGGTCACCTGACCCCAGTTGTCTTTCCTGCTTGGTGCAGGGGGGCTGGACCCGATGATCTTCCGAGGTTCCTTCCAGCCTTACAATCTATGAATCTATAAGAAGGTGATAAAGAAACCGTAAAAAATATAAAGGCAACACCAATGATGATAAAAGCGATGGGATGCAATGAGGAAAGCTTGATAGAACTAGGTGGACGTTTATAGACATGCTCTAGGAGTGGGGGGGGAGGCGCTTTAGTTAGAGTGGCTCCGGAGAGCATCATGTGTATCAGTGTCCCTGTGCTGAAAAATGGTACAAGCTTTAGTTAAAGCGCCCCTGCCGCCTTTTTTCAGTGCAGGGATGCTGATGCACGTGATGCTGGAGTCTGCTGAAGCATGGTAATTACCACACTCCAGCAGACTCAGTTAATCCAATCTGCTCCAATGTGCTATAATTACAGAGCATCAGAACAGCCTCCCTGCCCTGTGTATAGGCACCTGGTATGTTTAGTCTGAAGAAAAACAGATTCAGGGGGGACATGTTAGCAGCATTCAAATATTTTTAAGGCTGCCATAAAGAGGAGGAAGAACAACTCTTATTCTTTGCCGCAGAGGGCAAAACATAAGGCAGAGGGGTTTTTTTGATGCAGCTAATCATATTTGGATTGAATCTAAGAAAAAAAACTTTCAACTGTAAGAATAATAAGAAATGGAACAAGCTACCTTGAGAGGAAGTGCAGTTTCCGTCAATGAAGATTTCCAAAAAGAGGCAGAATACAAATATGCATCAGTCTGGATAGTTTCAAAGCACATTCTGTATCAATGCAAGGGTTTTAACTAGGTGATCATCATTAAGGTATCTTCCAACTCTTATGATTTTATGTTTCTATAACTGTTTTGAGATAACTTTATCAACTGTATATTATCAAAGACACTGTCATTAGGATAGCATTAAATTTTTGATCCTCTGTGGAGTCCTGTTGATGTTGTATCATTTATCCATTTCTTGATCATGCAAGAACTTATATGGAGGTATAACTTTATATAGTATGAATAGTTCCATTTATTTAATGGGTGTTACTGGTAGCAGGCAGCCTTCAGTCCTTCTGGATCACAGTGCAAGCACAAGAGGTCACCAGGACCTTCAACTCGTATTCCTAGGCAGAAATATGGAGGAGTTGAGGCTGCCCAGACTTTCTAGTGGCTGTAGTTGTATGCGAGTCCAGGAATTAAACCTGTGTCTCCTACCACTGAACCACAACAGCGGGTGTCAGTGTTACAGCACACAGTTAAACATGCCTAAATACTGTTGAAGAATTGGAGCTAAGCTAGTATTTTTTTTTCCACCCTGATGCTAAATGTTCATGTTCCTTGTTTGTTTTTTATCAACGATGCTTTCAGACTGTCAGAAGAACCAGAAAGATGATACTGGCCTGTTGTGTATGTAGTAATGTTTTCTTTGCAAACCTAAAGGTTGGGAACTGAAATTTTGTTCTAAATGAGAGCTAATGTTTAGAGTACATTTGGATGGTAAGGATTTTTGAATGGTAAAATGCACCAGACTGTGAATAAGGTAGCTTATATAATCTTACTGCATATACTCACCCTCTTGTGTATACTTATTACAATGTAATCTTTTTTTTACACTTCTATAGGATAGAAGTGTAATATAATATTATGTTATTTATTTACATATTATATATGTTATATATTTACTTCTCTTTTGTGTATGCAAGACTTCTGACTTGCATACACAATACATAATATAATATACACTTCTATAGGAATCCTATGTTGTCTATTTTATGTATGTGTATAAAGACCTATGTAAACGTTAAATTTGCAAAGTCAAGAACTCAAATTTAGGAAAAGCAATATTAAGTTTGCTTTGCAACCTTAATATATCACTCTTATGTGTGTATGCATTATGATACAAGCTTTAATTACTTCATCTTTTTTTTTCATGGGACTCCCACCTCATTGAACATGGATTGCAATAATCGAATAAGCAGCTGTTTATCTTTGAATCTCACTCTCATCATTCAGTGTGTGCTTATTCACTACACACAATTAAATTCTGCTCTGAAGCTACAGATACTACATTTCCTCATAGGCTTATTTGTAGTATTTATTACTACAGTAATTCTTCACAAACATCAGTGAATTTCCACAACTATTTCCAAAGTTACTCTAAGCATTGTGAGTAAGATGGCATTATAATTTCTGTTTTACAGATGGGGAGCTGAAACTTTAATGTAAAAAGTATAGACTAATTGTGGATATTGAGATTTAAGAAACATATGGACTGAATTTTTAGAGAAAATGGCATTTCATAGCTTTTGATTTGTTTAATGTTCTTGTTGACTTCCATTGTAGCCACTGAGTGGTCATCACTTTTCCAAATCCAGTTTGAAAAATTCAGTGATGATCAGATAGGACTCCCAAAAGATGAATTTTCAGTGAAAGTCTGAGCATTTTGGTCTTAGTAGTTTGTCCAACATCTTGTGAGAACTCTCTGGCAGAGGAAGGAATAGAGTCCAGTTCTTCATTTAACAGCCCTCACTATGAGAGCATCTTTCCTCTTTCTGCTGTTCTCTGTCTCATAGAAGCTGGAAGATGTAGCATAAATAACAGTCTCATTAATTAAACACACCCGATTCAGTATCTGAGTACCATCCATCTGCTTTATTTCACAGACTTAAATAATCCTGTAATATAGTTTTATGTAATTGTCCTGTTTTTTTTAAGCAACCTGAAAACACAGATATTCCCTACAGACTACACAGTTTATTGGCAGACTTGGAACATTTTAGATTCACGGCACAGACCCTTTCTACTTGAGTTGACAGTAATTGATAACACTAGCAACTTGCTGTTCTTTGTGGGCTATTAGAGGAAGATAAGTACATTTTGCCAGTGGCAAAACTTTCATTGTAATTTGTACAGAAAACAGCCTAGGAAAAGCACTGTTATGTGCTGCTGCTGCTGGGTATTAGCCCAATTTAAACCCTTAAATAAGATATGAGGCATGTCTACACAAGATATTGCATCGCTATAGCGATGCACTACAGCGATGTAGCTCGTCACTACGGTGATGTAGCATTGGTGGACACAAACTGCGACACCAATGCAACATCACTGTAGTGACGAGCTACCTCAGTGTGTTGCTATGACGACGTAGCTGCTAAACATAACTGTGCGCCAGTACAGCAAGTACTAAATGAGCAACAGTAACAACTGTGCTGTGGGTTGCACATGTAGATGTGCCCATGTTCTCTTAATCTTTGTGCCTCAGCTTTCCTTTCTGCAAAATAGACATAGTTATACAACTGCTGCATGTGGGTTTTGATGACTAAAGTTGGTAAAACACTTTAAAGATGCAAAATTTTGGTCTAAAAAGCAGCCAGTGTATTCTATAAGCAGTCCTTGTTAATAGGATGTATGCAAATATTAAAGTATGAAAACATGTAGAAAACATTTTCTTTCATACATTTTTGAGGGCTAACATAAAAAAGCAACTTTTTTCTAAATATACATGTAAATATTGTTATCGATCTCTATGATAAACAGATCTAAATATTTATTTTGCATTGTTATTTTATTAAGATGAAAACCTCAAATTTACCAGTGGAAAAGTTGGGAAAATTTTTGGAGATGCTTCAGGAAAAATCCCATGGTATCATTATTATCATTACTTTCTTTTAATCCATTTTGTTCCTTTCATTAAGAAAATTAGGTTGCAGGAAAGATGGCTTCAGTTTATGGCAGCATGGAAGTTTAAAAAAATATTTATCAAAAACTGTGGGAGCCTTCAGAAACAATATAGCAAAAGAGCCTTAGAGAAGGGACAAAAGGGATCTCTAAAAGTGCCCGGAAGGTGTATCAGAAATGTTGGAATCACTTCAAATTACTCATTCATTTTATAACTGAATAATAGGAGAATTAACATCCTACATTTTTAATACATTATCAAATTCTTTTTATACATCTTTGACAGAATTCTGTCTTTGCACAGGCTCTGTTGTACTCGCTTTCTTGTAATCTGAACACAAACTTCTTATTGATGATGAAGTCAGCAATGTACTGGAATAGTTTAACTGCTGCTCTATAGCCAAAAGTGGGTGATCACTATTTTTAAAAGGTCATGTAAAAATAGTAACTTCTGTTCTTGCTCTGGTATTTCTCTGAGATGGAAAAATAAATTTCAGAAAAATTTATAACAGTGACAAGAGGGAACAAAGACACAACTGCCAAGGTGATATCACACCACCAGACGATATTTTATTCAATTTATTTAATTAGCCAGTTTCAATATTTGGCAGCTGCATTTGAAACTTCATCTTACATTTGTGTGTGGATTTAGTACTTGGTGAATTCTTCTGTTTTGACAGGCTTGGCAAATTAAACACCATAGGAAGTTAAAAGAATCCTCAAATAGCCAAGTCAAGCACTCAAGCCGGAAAATATCACAAGTTAGGTTTACCTGAGCAATTTTAATTCAGTCCCTTTTTATATGTGAAGTATGATAGTCTTTTAGTATACAGTCACCAGCTATTTTTACCTGATTTTGGACCTATGACCATCTACAGGATTAGCCTCGTCTAATAAAACTATGGGAGTAACTGTTAGTTGACACAATTTTTAGCCTCTATGTTGAGCACTCTATTGAATAAAGGGCAACACATTTTAACAGTCTCTCTCAGTGCATTTTGTAAAACACTACTGACAGATTGGATATACGAACTCCTAGATTCTGTTCCTGTCTCTGGAATCTGAACATGGAAGAGCCGTGGATGTAGACACCATAGTGGAACACATAATTATGCATGTTCATTCTCACAAGCAGACATGCTTTTGTTATTTTAGAGAACTGGTTTCTATTCTTAACTCTGCCTCAAGTAACCTTCTATTACTCCTGAGTTATCTGAAAAAAAATAGGTTAACAATAGTTTTCTCCCATTAAGGCTATAACTCTTTAATGAATAATGAAGGTTATGAAGAACTATTTAACAACAGTCAGTAGAAGACCTGGGACTAGAACTCTGTTTCCAGAGTTTTTCATTCCTTTGAGCTACAGGGTATCTTATTTTATCTCTCTCTCTCAGTAGGCATGACAGAAACAAGTAGTGTTTTCAAAGTTTCACCTGAATTATTGCTAAGTGTTTGCTAGAGCTATTCTGGTTGAATTGGAGCACTTTCTAAGACTCCCACTGTTATTTCTGGTCTTTGCATATGCCCCAAGAGTGGATGTGGCTTAATAGCCATGATATAGCTCTTAGTGTAGCTGGAGCTCAGTTTGCATTAAGTGTTCTTTTGTTATATAATAAGAGACCACAGACTATTCTTTCCTGACGGCAGTATATTTTCTAGTTTTTCCTGTCACTTATAGTTTGTGGTCACTTTTAAACCTTTTTTCTTCCGTGTGGTAGTGCACACTGAATTATAAAACTAGCCTAATGCATCAGAAGTGTTTTAAGATTCAGGGCCTAAAGTTCACATGAAATGATCAATTGGAAATAGACTTACATATCCAAATAGTGTTGTGTCTTTTAGGTTCACTAGCTATGTAACTTTCCTCCTATTAGTTGCACTTGTTGCCTTCCAATTCAGGCACAAAGCATGCATCTTTTAGCTGCCTTTGATCCTCCTTCCAAAGTAGTCATAGATGGTGGTTGCTAAAGGGTCTACAAACCCCTTAGTATTACAACAGTCTTTTACCTTCTAAATAACAATTCCAAGATCAGCCTCCATGAGGGTGCTTCTGTAACTGTGTGATGGCTGGAACTTGTAGTTTCTAGGGCTAGTACTATTCAGAATATTTTCCCCACAAACTTCCTTTCTTTATACACTCTTTTTCAAGGTACCACACTGTGCTGAATCAGTTTTCCACACTTGTCTGTGGTGCTTTAGAGTGACTTGCCATTAAGGTTGAAGCCTTTGCAGACATATTCATGCCTTCATGCCATTTGCATTTACCTTTAAAGAAATACCCAAATATTAATGATGAATTTGAGAAGGAAATTAGAATATTTAGAAATTAGAATATTAGGATCTAAGAATGTTTAAAGTCAATGCATATCATGACTTGAAGAAAAATATTGGCGCTGAAGGCAGAGAGCAGTAAACCCATAATTGTCTTGACAGTTCAAAAGCAATAAGCCATTTTTTTGGGTGGCCTTTCATATATATGACTTCTTTTCCAGTTTAGAGAGATAATCAGCTAATCCAAAACTCATATTAGCCAGAGGCCCTGAATTCTGCGGATTTAGTTTGAACTGATTGTCTTGTGCTGTGCAACATGTTTAGAAGCCATTGGATTAGATGGTATATATCAAATAAACGTTCAGGTTGAATTTCCTAATCCAAAGGAAAGATGTTGCTTCTTATATGAACTAGAGATACAGTAAAGAAGCTGTGGAGGGGAACGTATGACTCTATAGTTCATATTGGTATTAAAAAATAAAAGGTGCTTATTTATATGTAGTAGTTATCTTTAATGAGTTACACAATGTGCCTTAGCACATTCAAATGTTATGGTCATTTGTTTGGATACATATGCATTGAAAGGGATTTGTATGAATCACAACATGGAAAAGGTGGAGCTGTATATAAGTGTCTTTATCATTTTTGTGAATGCTAGTGAAATTAGAGTATTTGCATTTCCACAAATTCTTATATTCATTTCCTTTATATTTTAGATAGAGCTTCAGTTTAGCAACTGAAAACTTAAAAATGCAAGTTCTTGGCTCAAATGACTGGATATGAAATACACTTAGTGCAAGATGTAGTTTGGAGGATTTTCCTAGAGGGTTCAGTAGAAGTTATTTTAAGGTAGTTTGCAGTATTTGTACTAAGCAAGTGTTTTAAGGTTTTTTTAATTTAGCCATGTGGCATGCCCTTTTTGTTGTTTTTAAATGAAGTTAGTGTTTATTGAAAAGTACCAAATAGCCTGAAAAGTAGAAGAGCAGACAGAGACAGTGGACGCATCTACACATGCAGTTAATGTGCTTAGGCACGCATCTGAATGTATGCCCATCAGGAGCAGTTCAGTCCAGAGCTGCTCCTGTCCTGCTCTGCCCCCTGTAACAGCCAGGGGAGATCCAGTCTCCCCCAGATGCCAGCCTCAACTTGGAAGTGGACATGAGGGTCGGTCCTGATCTCTATGGGGCAGGGGGAACTGTCCTGGCTCAGGGGACAGC